GAGCCACACCAGGGTGTCGCGCAGCTGGCGTGAGGACGCGCCCGCGCGGCGAGAAACGACGAGGCATCAGCGGGCATGGCAGGGGTCGGCGGGTGGAAGGCGAGTGGTCGGGGCGGGGCCGCTTCTGGCGTGAAAAATCGGACTCAAAATTCTCCAGCGTGACGACGTACGCGGTGTTTTGACCCGGTCAACGGATGCTAAACACTATGACCGAAGGAGACCCTGCAGATCACGCCTGCACCAACGCCTCCCGAGCGTTTCGTGGCCGGTCACCTGCCCCTCTGCCTGCTGGAATTCCAGCTCGGCGTTGGTGACGTCAGCCTCGAGCTTGTACAGCTCGGTGCGCTCCGCCACGGCCGGCACGGGCGCCAGCTGCCTGCAGGAGCAAGGGCGTGTGCGCGTGTGTGTTTGTCTTTGTTTGCTTTTGTGCGGTTTGTGCATGTGAATGTGTGTGTGCGTGCATTTTGCATGCGTGTGTATGGCACTGTATGTTTGCATGCCTTTGCGCTGTAGCGGCAGATAGATTAGGACGGCCACCACGACTTGCCACACTGAAAGCCGAGTATACATAACACCAGGCTACAAATGCAGCATGGAGAGTCCAAGTCGGCCGCCAGCTACTCAGCCATGCACGCATGCCCTCGCACCGCCAGCGCTTTGCCGCTGCCTCCCTGGCCCGGCGGCTCTGCCCGTGCGCGCGCCCTCGCTCGCTCACCCGCCGGCCGCCTCCTGGGCCATCACGCGCGTGGCCGGCGCCCCCACCGCCGCCTCGGCGGGCTCCCTCAGGGCGGCGCCGCCCGCAACCGCTGCGTCGGCCAGCGTCTCGGACGCGTAGCCGGAGGCGGCCCCTGGCGCGAGCGTCAGGGGGTTCCGCGCCTCCTGCGCCTGCACCTGCCCGGCGGCCGCGAGTTTCGGTTGCACGCATGTTGAGTCTCAATTGATCGCGCGCGTGAGCGCAGTTAGTTCGATTGGTCGGTGTGGGCGTGTTTAGGCGGGTGAGGGGCAGGGTGTGCGTGTGATTGGGGTGTGTTTTTGTGCGTGGGTGTTGCGCTTTGCCGGCACACCTGGTGTGCGCAACTTTCCAAGTGTGTGGGACAAGCGCATTCGTAAGAGCAGCGTTGCATGTCGCAGGGCGGTTGTTGAGCCACGGCTGTCCCGATGCCAGGTGTCAATGGGCTTCGCATGCAGCGCGAGCGATCGACACCAGGCCTCCAAAGCCGTGACTGCGCAAGCCACCGTTCGGCGGCCTGGTGCGCTGTCTGCTTGGCCTGTGGACCGGCTGACCCAGCAGTAACCCTGGGCTCGGCTCCCAATCAAGCAGAAAATCAAGCAGCAAAGTGTGGATAACCCCAAAACAACACCTGGAGCCCACAACACGGTCGCCGGCCGACGGCTGCGCACGTACACCCACCCAACGCCCAGCGCCAACCACACCCAGAGGAGCCGTGCGCCTGCTGGCACCGGCCAGACCCGTGCGCGCCTCCCTTTGCTGGGGATCCCACTCCCTGATTTCCCTGAATACATGTACATAGTCATACACACACAAACACACACACAGGATATTACCAAACACACACACACACACACACACACACACACACACACACACACACACGGGTATATACATACACGCAAACACAAAAACATATACACACACAACAGGATCGCGCAGGCATGGGACAAACGCCCACCTCGATCCTGGCGGCCTCGTGGCGCACGCGCTGCGCGTCGTAGGCGCGCCGCAGGTTCTCCACCCTGGGCTGTGCCTCCTGCATCGACGCACGTGAGGGGGCAGATGGACGCAAGGGGGGCAGGCATCAGTGGTGCAAAGGGCGACAGATCAGGCTGGCACGAGCGTGACCCGTCCAAACGGGTCACGCTCGTGCCCCGTTTGGATGAGGGGGTTCTGAAGCTGGTCGAAAAATTTCACATTGCTTCCTGTCTTGCATAGCCGTCGACAGCGCAACTAGGGCGGGCCTGGCTGCCACGTCTCCGCGGCTCGGACCGTTCGACTTCCGAACCGACATGCGCGAACGCTCAAACACAAATTGTATGGAGCCATGGCAGGACAACAAACGCTGTGCCAAAGCCGCCCATGGGCAGCAGCGGAGCCCTCCGCCACTGCCGCATCACGGCCTCACCTTGGCTGCATTGTACACACGCAGCCACAGCTCAAACGGCTGCACCAGCCGGTCCTCCACCGCCGACGACACCGCGTCCCGGGCCTCTGCGATCGCCCGCCGCTGCTCTTTGTGCCTTCGGAGGTTGAGGGGAGGGCGTGGCGGGGAGGTGGGCGGTGTCAAAGCACGGACAATGAGGGGTGGCAACCACGCAGGGACAGCCGACCCTCGAACCAAGGCAGGAGCACACACCCTTTCCCCTCCTTGTCCCGTTCGCGCCACGCATGCTCAGATCACACTCAGATCGCTGCACCAGTCTCTTGATCACCCAGATCACGCCCATATCACCTGAAGAGCTCTTCAAAACCGCTTGGAAGCTCAATGGGGACCGCAGCAACATGGGCGGTTGGGGCGCCTGCGGCGGGGCAGGCGGCAAGGCGATAGGTCCGTACGTTTTCCAGCAGACGGAGCAAGATCATCGCCGCATTGACTCAAGTCAAATAGCTGCAGCGCATGCAGCGGCGGCTTTTGAAGCTCAGGCGGTCTTCGGTTTGCAGCAGGGGGCGGCGGACCCGCCAGTGCCCGCGGCGTCTTGCCAGTCGTGCGCGCGGCGCCGCGCTCACGGGCTTGGCTGCCAGCGGCCGCGTTCGGCGGCGGACCCGGGGCCTGGCGATAGGCAGACGGCAGCCTGGGGCAGGGCCAAGGGGGTGCAACAGCAGTTGAGCAGCTGCTTTGGATTGAGCGCCTCTGTGGCACCGCCATCAATCCCCAAATTGCCTGGCGATAGCAGCAGTGAAAGCAAAGCTGGAAGGGTGGGAGAACTGTGACTGCAAGGCAAGGGTCGTGCACAGAGCAATGCCAGCGCTGTGCGGCGGCGGCCGCGCCCACCCTGTGTCTATTATGAACGAGTCCAGGTCGCCCAGAAAGCCTTTGTGGTTGGGTGTGGACAATTTGCGATGATTGATGCAAATGGTAGCAATTTTGAAGTTCCAAGAGACTGCTTGAAATGAACAATCCTGTATGGGAAGTTTGCATGTGCTCAATGCTCTACGCCAATTGCGCCGTCTGCAAGACAACTCCAACCCTCGGTCCACGCCAGTCAACCTGTATATAGCAGAGCTGGCAGGGGGCACACTCTCGGCGCCCCAGGGCAGTGCAGCCCAGCCCCGGGGGGCGCGCGTCTGCTGTGTGGGGTGCTGCACAACTACACAACACCCAGTGTGAGCCGCTAGGCGAGGCGCACCCTTGGCGGTGGATGAGAAGTCCTTGGCCTTCTGCACATAGCCGACAGCGTGAGATGAGAACGTACTGGGGTTGAAGTATTCGTGAAGAGGGACGGCGGGGGGATGGGGAACGGGCAGGTGAGTCCGGGGCCCCGGCGCGGGCTGCGGGTTTGTGGCCGTTCAGCTACCCTACTGGTTGTTCGTGATGAGATGCGAATCAAGCAAGGACGTGTGGCGCCCATCACAGGCGGGCACAGGCACAAACGTGCCGCGTCAGTGCGTCAACACATGCTGGCGGCGTGATGTGTGCTGCAGAGCGCTGCGACGTGCTCAGGCAAGGTCATGCGCGTTCCCCTCAGCCCAGCGGCACGCCTCAGCGCGCGTGCCCCAGCCAAGTTCACCTGCACTCGAATAGCAGCTTGGTGTGGGCGTCCAGCAGCGTCGGCTGCACCAGTGGTTGCGCCATCGTGCTGCCCGGGTATGTAATGGGGTGCTGGTGCGGCATGTGAAGGGGGCGGGAACAGGTCATGCAGCGCACGGAAGGCGCCTTGCCTTTGGTGCATAGGGCACATACAGAAGTGCTGGCAGGTGCATAGTCATGCGCAATGCGCGTCACTTGCACGCGTTCAGAGTGCGAAAACTCACGCTTGATCAGCGATCGACGTGCTTGCTGAGTCTGGCACGATCTGGGATGTAGGTATCGTAAGCTCGAAGGACGATGTACGGGTGTCCCACGGGCTTGCAGACTGTGCTTGGGTACAGGGCCATCCACATGATGCCGCGAAGCAGCAGCTGATGTCACTGCGAGTCATGCGTGCGCTCAGGCAGCGGCCCGTGTGCCATGCTCTTGCTGGAAAGGGGGGGGGGGGGGCTGCATTCAAATGGACATACCTATGCGCGAGGCCATGCACGCATAACTTTGTTATGGAGTGACAACATCCTGATTTGCAGCGCGCTCGCTGCCCGATGCCGCTCTTTAAATCATTGAACAGGGGGTCAGCGACCGACACTGGAAGGCAGCAGAGCAGTGGTACAAGCTGTTAACCACACCCATAATCCCTCAACAGTAGTAGCAATTTACAAACTGCTACAAATGTTGCAAATTTAGGCCGCAATGCCGTCGTGAGGCATTCAATGGCAAGAGTCGCCGAGCGCATCCCCCTCGCCTTGCGTGCTCGCCTTGCGCGCACGGTACGCATGCGGCACACACGGCTGCAGCAATGTATGGCCGACTCACGCATTGCATGTGCATGCCCTCATTGTGCGGTTTAATGATGACTCCTCCCATCCACGCACGTTTTTTTCAAGGGGCGGCCTTCAACCGCAGCGCGAGCTGGATGTACCTTTGCCATGCAGGACAGAGGTTGGATGTCCACTCAACCCTTTAACGCGGCCAAAGCCGTCACCAGTGAGTGGCAGAGCATGTACGGCAGGTTGCTGAGTTGCAGCTCCATGGCTGCACAGTGGCCGGAGGCCTGTGGCTGGCGCAGTACGGTTGCCGATGGCACCGTCAGGCACTGCGCCGTCACTGCAGTGCACTTGCGGTAGTACGGTACGCCGTGTGACACATGAAGGTTAGTGTGAGAGCAACGCAGCTTTGCAGGCCCTGCACATGCTCACGGATTGGTGCCACGAGACCTCCGTTGTGTTTTCACACACCGTTGTGCGCCAGATCAGTGTGATTGTTGTTGCTGTGGCCCCTGAGTGAATTTGAAGGTTGTTCACCGTGATTGCAGAAGTCTCAAACAATTCGAGCCACGCGCCACTAGACTTCGTGATCAGCGCTGCCGGTTTGGTTGAAAGCAGCCTCGGGCCCGCTGGGAGGATCATTTCAAGAGGCATAAGCAGCACTAAATACCTGCAACTGCTTTAGCTGCGGGACCTCCAGCAGGTGCGCAGAAAGCGGCGCCGGAGCAGCGCTTGGGCTCGAGGGGGGCGAGCCCGGGCCGCTGCATGTTTTGCAGAGGCTGGCGCAGCACGCGCAGCTAGACCCTGCGCATCCTCGGTGCTATACCAGGGCAAGGCAAAAATCCCGGAGACTGGGCAGCCTGTTGCAAGAACGGCGCGCCGGCCCCCGGCCTGGAAGCAACCACCCAGCCCCAGCCAACCACGCGGCCGCGGCGCCCGCCCCCAGGATGCCGCCCAACCGCTCCCTAAGCCGCTTGAAGAGCGTGGACTTCTATAAGAAGATCCCCAGCGACCTGACTGAGGCGACGCTGACGGGCGCGTGGCTGTCCATAGCAGCATCGGTGATCATGAGCAGCCTGCTGGTCCTGGTGAGCGGCAAACTCGGGAGGCGGCGCGCCAGCACGAAAAAGCGGGATGGGCATGCGGGCGTCGCGGGACGCGGCTGGCGCGCAGCGCTAGTGGTGACCTGGGATCCATGGAGCGGCAAGAGAGCGGCGGGCGAACAGCAAGGCGGGCGCATCCGCCGGCGACGACGGCGGCCGCGGCGGCGGAGAGCGGCGACGGCGCGCCCCTTGCCGCTGCTGGCTGCCACGCGACGAGCCGATGGCGCCGAGCCGGTGGCGCCGGCGGCGGTCCACAGGATCTAGCGTCAACCGCGTGCTCTGCTGCAGCCGCTAGCCCGCGCCTCCCGCCAGACCAATTTGGACCATCTGCTGCGAAAGCTTGCGTTGACCCTTGACGCCGCCCCCGGCACCACGCGGTCGCTGTTGCCGCAGGAGCTGGCTGCGTTCTTGCGGGTGCAGACCGTGTCTGAGCTGGTGGTGGACCGCAGCACCAGCAACGAGCTGCTGAAGGTCACCTTCAACATCAGGTGAGGCGGCAGGAGGGCACCGGGTGCGCGGCGCGGGCGTGGCGTTGGAGGGGTGACGGGGGGCGCGTGGCGCTTGCGGGCGCTTCAGCGCGCCTGGATGAGAGGGCGCCAGCTGGGCTGCAGCGTGGGGGCGCCAGCTCGTCCAGCTGCGGGGGCGCCCTTGCAGGCCCGGATTGGTCGGCGCGCCGTGCATCGGGAGCCGCGCGTGCGAGGAGCCGCATCGGTCACGATACAAAGCCGGCAGGCAGCCGAAGACAGTAGTGAGCCCTCCTGACGTCCGCCACCTATGGTTTGTGACCGTCCACGCGGCCTCGATGTTATCCGCGCAGCTTCCCTGCGCTTTCATGCGAGTTCGCCACCCTGGACGTCAGCGACTCGTTGGGCACGGTGCGTGTGTGGGGGCGGCTGCTGCGGTTGAATGGGTGGTTGTGTATAGGTGGCTGGCCATTGGCGTGGACAGTGCTCATTTGGCAGGTGTGTGCTGGCGAACGCAACACACACGCACACATGCGCACACACGCGCGTGCACACACACACACACACACACACACACACACACACACTTGTCTTCTATCGTACTCACAGATGCTATGTATGCAGGGCTCTCGCAGGACTCCACCCCATCAATTCGCCTCACCCCCACCCCTGATCTCTCACCCCCCTCCCAAGCGCAGAAGAAGATGAACCTCACCAAAACAGTGCGCAAGGTGCCCATCGACCTGGACCTCCAAAAAGCGGGCGTGGCGGTGGACGACGCAGGCAGCGGCCACAAGCCGGGGGGCCCCAAGTACGACGCCGAGGACACATGGGTGGGTGGCCCGGGGGTAAGGGGGGGAGTAAGAGACGTGATGTTTTGGGTGCTACACTAATTGGAGGGTGTGGTGTGAGCACGCGCGGCCCGAGGAGATTTGGGGGCAGTTCTGATGGCGCAGCCTAGCAGTCTTGGAAGTACGGCGGCTGGGGCTGGATTCCAGAGCCACCCCAGGG